ACCCCGCCCCACCCCACCCCACACACTTTTTCAAGGCTCAAAAATAGCATTAAAAACTGCATATATTTTTGGGTGCCTATTTCATGAAGGACACCAAATAACAGGTCAAATTTTTCATTACAATACACTAATTTGTTACTCCAAGTCTTTCACTGTTTTTTTCACCTTGAAAAAGGACTTCAAATTTGTACATACCCATAAAAAGTATTCTATATCTGTGACGTTGACACCATTTTGCAGTTTGAGCACCATTTTTACTAATTAGTCAACATTATTTGCTTCTCATTGGGGTTGAGTCACATTGTTTTAGGTCATGGGTGAATACAGATGTTTGTGTTTGTGTACATAAACTATCATATCAACAGCCTATGTGGATTTTAGTCTTCCACATGCAAAAATTACTCATATAGCATATCTGGTATATTTAGTTTGATATTATGCCACAATCATGGCCAGGACTGAGAGGCTTAGGAGGAGTTTCTACCCCCAGGCCATACGGTTCTGAACCTGGACGTGCCATTGCTACTCACACCCTGATGTACATTGGGCTCTTGTACCCCTCACCATATCTGCACTGTTACACTGCTCACTTTTTTATGTCTGTGTTACCGTTGATTTTGAACATACTTCTCTGCTTGCATTTTTAGCTTTTTTTGCACTCTAACTTTAGCACAATTTGGAGTTTTAAATTTGCACCGTCCACAAAAGAGCGTTTCGGGACTTTGTACTTTGTATAACTATGTACATTATGTGACAATTAAAGAATCTTGAATCCGTATCCGTGGATTTACTTATACAGTGTATTCATAAGATAGGACAGATTCTACAGGATCCAGTCTGTTCACAAAAAAGCTCAATTTCAGACTTAGAGAAAAAAGAAAAGTTTGAGGAAACGACATCAAGCCCCTTATGTCGCATTGATAAACAAAAAGTTATTTAAATTATGCAGTGACTAGCTGAACATTATTACTGCATGCAGGCCACGTAAAAGCACACAGAAGCACAACAGGATGTGTTGAACTTTTTTTAAAATGAAATTAATAGCATGTCAGCTTATGATATTCACAAGCAGAGTCATTCAGTAGGTAGCACTGTGGTCCCTTATGGTTATCACTGTGTGGATTCCTCTGGGGACTCCAGTTTCCTCCCACATGCACAAAACATGCAATTTAGATCGACTGGCATTTGCTGCAGAGGCACAGCGACAGGACAGAGAGGGCAGGAAAGATGCCCCAGGACCCCCAAGCTCTGAGGGGCCCCCAAGCTCTGAGGGGCCCCGAAGACGGCCGATTACACAGCACATTGCACCGACAAATCTGCTTTTTTTGTGCATTTATTTTTCTTTTCTTTCACAAAAGTGAAAATAAAGGCCTCATGTTTATTAAATTCTCTTTGTTGATATTATTTACACTTCATAGTAAAATAAATGTGATAAATTTGACCATGCTGGAGGAAAGGGGAGTTGGAGGGGCCCATGGAGTTTTTTGCCTGGGGCCCCCAGAGTCCCTAGAATCACCTCTGGATTGCTGGTATGCAAGGGCATGCTGTTATCTACTAAAATCCTGTCTAAGGTATGCCCTGGGGTGCACTGGCACCCTGCACTGGATACAGTGATGGAAAGTGGATTTGGTGGATTTTAGCAGGATAGAAATTTCCATTTGTTGACAACATCATAATAACTAAGTAACCACTCAAAAATGCTTCAGTAGCCTGTACCTCACCATAACATGGCCCGGATACCAATGGTTTTGTTTAAAGGAACTTGTTGCTATATACATAAACAGATGTTACAGTTTCCAACAGGGACTAGTTAACTTGAACGCTTGCGATGGAAATCGCAACAACAACAATAGCAATAATAATAATAATAATAATAATAATAATAATAATAATAATAATAATATATTCACAAATGCCAAACTGGGAAAATGGAAGGACGCAAACTTCAAGGGAATGCTCGCAGTTTTCAGCCCCTTAGTCAAACTTGGTCCATTTTAAATGACTACATTGCAGTCCGGTACTAGACCTTTTTCCCAGGCTCACAAAAACTGACAGAAGCCAAACCGGGAAAACAAAAGCTACAAGTCTACGAAGGAATCCAGCAAGAATAAAGATACAACAAGGATGCGGCATTCTGTGGCATTATATGGAGAAACTATTTTACATTTGGCGGATTAAATGCAAACCAGTAGGGATATAGTTATAAAATACGTTTACGGTAGCAGTAGTTGCTGTAATCTAATTTCTGTAAGACGCATTCTATTATATTGCCGATAAGGATTATGGGATCCCGGACGACTCGGCTTTACTAGGATGGTACCACGCTCCACAGTGAAGTCGTGATTGTTGAGCTATGGCACAGTAAACTTTTTACATTTCCATTAAAGTGCATTTGGACATGAAATAACACTTAACAATTCGTTAACTGCATTTAAAAGTTAACATTCATTTATGCCAGTTACATATCAGAAGTCAGAATAATTTGAAATTTGCTTCACGTACCATGCTTCGTTAATACCATTCTCTTCATATGGTATGATAAAATAGTTTAATAATCAAGGTAACTCAAATGAGGTGAAAGAATCTCGGTAATGCTTTATTTAAAGCAGTCATGCTTTAAGTAAATGAATTATATATACCTTCATAATACATTATAATGCATTCATAAACTATTATAAACACAGTTATGCCTATAACTATTTATAAAAAGGCATAACACATTATAGCAGCGTGCTGTATGAAGCTCTCATCTATAATGCACTATAAATACCTTCATAATGCATTACAATGTCTAATGCTGACCATTATATACTAATATAGACCAATGTGGCTATATAATGCCTTTTCATAAATAGTTATAGTGGTGTTTATAGTATTTTGTGAATACTTTATAATGCATTATGAAAGTGTCTATAATGCATTATGATGACTGCTTTAAGTAAAGTGTTACCAAAATCTAAAACTGTTAA